CAGAATTTCCAACATGCTGGAAAATTTATGTATAAAAGGACAACAATCGTTTTGCTTTCTTTGAAAGAGAAGGAAACACAACTATAAGGTCATTTATAAATGTTTTTACATACGATTCACAGAACTTTCACCCCAAATGTACACATTTTTCTCCTTGAATTAGGTTGAGATATCTAGTGGCATTCCTAGGGGGGGGGGCACTTGCCCCCACCATTTAGAGGGTGTTCTGGTGCAGCTGTTGGCGACATGTAGAGTGGCATGTTTGTGCCTGGTGATGGTACACAGAGAGCACTGAAAGATCTTCAACTGACAGTGGAGGTATAGTCCCAGGTGATGGGGAGAGAGGCACCAGTGTGGGAGAATGTGCTCAGGTAACACTAGTGCAGGGGGATTGGTTATTGTTACAGCCAGTAACTGACCACTAATGCTGAGGAGACGGTCATTGGTACAATCAGCCACTGACCTCCAATGTTGGAGGGGTTTTGTTAATGCCAGCCATCTATCTGCTTGAATATAGTTTATTACCTTATTCTGAGGTATTACCCTATGGGATCCGGCCTTATGGTTTGTGGTATAGTATAATGTTCATTAATTTTATATATATATAAAATGGAGGTGATTGGAACACCTGAATCCAATAATTTGGAGGGGCGTCCTAATACTTTTGGCAATATAGAGTGTGTGTGTGTGTATATATATGTATGTATATATATATATGTATGTGTATATATATATGGTATATGTATATATATATACATATATATATATATATGTGTGTTGTACCTGTGCTTAACCAAAATGTGGCACTGGTACATGTTTATGCCATCAAGAGAAAATATTTCCTATATCCACCTACTTAGGTATAGGTTTGAGTAAGCTGGAGCACAAATATACACCATGGCTGAACTAATGAAATATTGACCAAGGCTGAGCGGTAGCGGGAGTTGCAGAAAGTAAATATATTGTGAATAAATTCCATAAGATCAACAATAAACTAATTATGGGCACATATTTAATTATTTCAAAAAGACTGATTCTTGGCATTTCTATTACACTATATATTTGTAATAGCTAAGATGTATTTTTCTCTGGTGCAGTGGCTTTAAATGAGTAAGGATTCAATATGTATTATGTGTAAGGGCTGGGTTCATTAGTTCTGAGGAAACTATTTTGCAGCAAATGATAAACAATACTCCATGGTTTATGTTTTCTTGTTTCCCTGTAATAACTGATGTTCATAGTAACATAGTTACATAGTATTTGAGGGCGAATAAAGACACAGGTCCATCAAGTTCAACTTTTGTGTGTAGGTGTGTGACTGTGCATGTGTATGCGTGTATACGAGTCCCCGTGTCTTCATGTTTTTAAGAGTACCTGTACCCCTGTCAAAAACAAAGATTTATCCATATGAAAACAATGCCCATGTATCCTAAAAAATGCATACAACATTTCCACATGCTTATTATTAATACATACGTAGTGCACAAAATCGGGAAATGTTTCTGGACTTTATATTGGATATTAAATTGTTGAAAGGGTTAAATATCTATGTGAGATAATCCTTAGCATGGTTTTCACAATACTGCGAAGTAATAGAACAGAGGATGTGTTTCCCTGAGAAACAGCAGAGGGCACAAGAGGCTGATTTATGAATCTGGGATCTGCTTATATTACACTGGTGTCTATATTGCAAATGTCTGTCTCCTGACAGGTTTTTCAGGAAAATAATATGTGGTATGATTCGTTTATATGCAGATGTGCATGTGCCTCCTTACTCATTGTTGTGCCCTGCCGTAGCTGTATATTTTTTCGAATCAATCGTGGAAATGGGTTTTAACATCTCATTATTTCCTTTTAAAGAAATAGATAAAAACAAATATGGTATAAGAATGTGTAAAGTGTGTCTAATATTTTTTTAGACAGAGTAGGTCAGGATTCTGTCAGTTTTTGTTTTTTTATTTTGCGGTGTCCTCAATGAGGTGGTTTATCCACTCTAAGTTGTCCTGGTGACTATTGTCTCTGGGACTGAAATTTGTTGCAGTGACAACTGCTTAAAAGAGAATTTCCCTCATTTTAGACAGATTTCCTTTCACTTCCTGATGTGTCTATGGGACATAAGGTGAACTGAAATTTAACAGTAGGACACAGATCTCAAAAAAGGAGTTCTATCCTTTCTCTAACAAGTTTGGGCTTTATTTTTTGGGATAACATTGGGAAATGTCCCACTTTCCTTACCCATCCTAAAAAAAATTAAGACCCTCATCCCATTGTTATTGAACTACTTGGGGGACTAACATCTACCTCTGCTGAGTACAGAGCAATTACTGTATGGATCATCTTAATATTTAAAAGGAGAAGATATAATGCCAAGTGTCATGCTAAAATTATTCTTTCTCTTTGCAGGATGATGATGTAAGGGAAAGTCGTTTTAGTTTTACAGCTTATGGCATGGGACCTTGTCTTCAAACAAAAGATGGGGTAACTCCAAAGGGACCAATCAATCAAGCACCACCAACGCCAAAAACCCATGAAGAAATGAGAAAAGTGTTTATAGACAGGGCAAAGAAGATAGACACAATTTCTCGAGCTGGCTTTCCACTCGCCTTTTTAATATTCAATATATTCTACTGGGTCATATATAAAATTCTGCGACATGAAGACATTCATCAACAGCAAGACTAAAGAACAGTAAAGTCTCAAGTGAATCATAGGCTCACACTAACAAGTTTGGAACCCATAACCAGCAGAGCAGAAAACCCAACTTTCATCAATTTCTTAATTAATATGGTCATCATAACACATAGTTAGTAGAAACACAATTAGATGGTACAAATACAGCTACAAAATACTGCCACTCTTACTTGATTTTACATGGTACTACTCAAGGTGTCAATACACAAAATTATTGTTTTTAAAATAATTGCTATTTATACCATTATCAATTACAGGACCAAACAGGTAAAGTGATATTTAGATTTTACTAGATGTAGCAAATACAATCTTTTTCTTTTGTTTACGTATTTGGTACAATATTCTTATTTTTGAACAGTAAACAGTATTTTTTATATATATTGTCAGTGTCACATTTTTACAGTAACAAGAAATGATTAATATGAAATGATTAATATTAGTATTAATGGCACAGTAATAAGCAATCTGCCTTATAATGCTTTGAAAATAGGTTTAAAGTTTTCTAGTGAACAAAATCCCCAAGGAAATATGCATTTCATACACATATTGACCAGTAATAAAAAAAAACAAATTCTTACATTTTGTTTAAATGTGAAAACTATGAATACTCAGTGTCTTCTTACCTTATTTAGGATTAGTATGCTTTTAGTAAATTTATTTTATTGTTCTTAATTTAATTTCAAATATATGAACAATTTTTCTAAAACCTTTTTTTTTTACTATTTTTAAAAAGTATGTTTCTAAATACAATATATACATAAACATACAAATTTCATATGAAGAATGTATTTTATGTAAATTAAATATATCCACTAGCTCACGTTTAAGTAATGTCAGATATGTTTTATGTGAGCAATGTAGAAAAAAATAATGTGTGCTTATAAATAGTAGTTCAGCTTCTATTCTATGGGAATACCATATATCTATATATATCTATATATACATATATAGATATATATAGATATATATTAGGGCTGTTACTGATTAAAATTTTCGTGTTCGATTAATCTAAATGTTATTTAATCGATTACTTTCGATTAATTATAACGCACATACAGATCCAACTACATTGGCCTATACACATACAGCACAGCAATGAAGTAATAACATGAACTAAGATCATACTAATCCAGCACGTTATTAATCTCACGTGCCCCACTCAATATGGCCGCCGCTTGAGTGGGGCAACTCAGAATAATAACGTGCTGGATTAGTGTGATCCTAGTTCATTTTATTACTTCATTGCTGTGCTGTATGTGTATAGGCCAATGCCTTGGAGTTTGGTCCACACTTGTGGGCACACTGACCAGCTGGGAAGATTGTGGAAGAAAGGTTCAATGTCAATTGGCAGGCTGCACAGTGATGTTCCCTTTACATGTAAGTATAACCTATTTAAAAATTGATAGGGCAGAACAAGTTTCTTGGGAAAACTCACCGGCCCAAGTGGCTCCGTCGGCTAACGAAGGGAAGGGGGAGAAGTCCGGTGACGTCACGGACATCGACATCATCTGACTCCTCCCCCTTCCCTTCGTTAGCCCACGGAGCCACTTGGGGACATCGACGTCACTGGACCCCTCCCCCCTTCCCTTCGTTAGCCGACGAAGCCACTTGGGGAAGGGGGGAGGAGTCCGGTAACGTTGATGTCCGTGATGTCACCGGATCTCCGACGGGACTCCTGGAAGCTGCCAGAGAGGTGAGTATTTTCATCAGCAGCCCTAATATTAATATATATATCTATATATATAGATATATCTATATATATAGATATATATATAGTCCAGAAAAGTAGACAGATAGAAAGTAAACTGATGGGTCTTGTATTGAAGAAACAGGAGAAGAATTGAATAAATTGGTGGTGCCACCAGCAGCAGGTAATTATGAAACATAAATAGCAAACCAATATTGCAAAACAGACAAATCAGGGTCAGTCAAAATGTGTCACATGTGTCAGGTTTTTATTGCTTTCTGCACACATCTCCCAGCAGCATGCATTTCCCTAGTTTATGCTCCTGGTGTCACCGTGACTGACATTGAGAGATAGGAGTTGGTTTACTAAAGTTTTCACTATGCAAGAAAATGTTCCCTTAGCTTAGAGAATGTGGTTAAAATTCAATTTGCAAAGAATACCCGATTACATGCAAGAAAAAATATTTTTTTTACACTTTTGAATGATTGTTTAAAACAAATCCTCTAA